TTTGTACAGTGGCATTAGTAGTATAATATTATTATGTGTACCTATGTGTACTTACAAAAAAACGGAATGTCATGCGTCGGATGCAACATATTATTATTATTTCATTTTTTTATTGAATTCAGAATTTTTATATATCTGTTGAACGGTAAATGTTTGTTGTGTAATAATAATAATAATATTATATTATATACTGACTTTAATAATATCATAGAATAGATTTAATCTATTCTGTGATAATATTGCCATTTGCCGCTTATGTGTATGCGTCGGTACCTATATAATATTGTGTTTATAAATAAATACTGCAGTACAACTGTTTACACAGCGTTTATACCACATTACCGCATATTATAGTAACCGTTACTCTTGCGTATTATTATTATTATTATCATTATTATTATATTATGTCTTAATAATAGTCACTTATTATTATTATTATTATTATTGAATRGGTAGGTATACGCCGCGTACTTCTTTGGCTTCGACAACATCCGACAAGTCCGACGAACCCGAAACGTTTCGTTACTGATATTATTAATATGTCATTACACCACTATTAACGTAACGTAAGTATATACACTAAAGTTCTTAATATAATATTTAAAAAAAAAACAATTAATATAGATTTTGTCTGTAGCATATTTTTCTTATATTTAATATGAGTGTTCAGTGCAACTAGGAAAATGTGAATCTTGAGTACCCTAAAAGGGCAATTATTGTTAAAATATGTAAATTAGGTGACCTTTACAATCGATTTATTTTGTACTTGGTTGTAAATTCATTAACACCGTATACGCCATACGGCATACATTCTGCCTATGATATTAAATTATTTATCTGTAGAAACAGCACGTGAATCATAAAATTCTGTCAAGGCTCTTATATATAAACCTAATAAATTATCAACTATCATCAAATCACGAACTACTCACCTATTTTATAGTTATAATAGGTATAATTATATTTAATGTGGACAAGACTGTACAAATTTACCGTGAGAAAAAATTTGGTAAAAATGTTATTATGTATAATCGAGATACATAATATTGTTAAAAATAAAAAAGCATTACTATAATATTCTGCAGCATATAGCATAATTAATGGTATTTYATATAAATTATCATGTATATTTACGTATTATATATAATTATATTTTCGTTAGCCGACTGCAGATATTATTATTATTATACAAATACAAAATATATAGAATATACATGCATATAATATAG